ATAAAAAGAAACAAATAGTTTTTTATTGAACAAAATCAATAAATACAAGGGGAAGAGATTTCCTCAAATGTCAAAACAAACAAACAAAAAGGAGCTTGACTACTCCTAAATAAAGCAGCATGAAACTGTCACTTGTGGCTTTTCAGAAGTACAGATTAGGTGTTATACCCATGGGATGTGATGGTCCTCAGGTGGGAGAAAGTAACACCCTCCGTGGATGTGTACTTGCAATCGCTCTCTCGATAAAAGGATAGGGCTAAAATCTAAATGGCAAATGAAGATTTACAGAGCAGGACAAGAGGATTCACACCTTTAATGACCGCCATACATCGGTCAATGAAAAAATAGCAAGCTTCACTTTTATCAAAAAACTGAATATTTCAGAATATATCTTCAATGCACCAGGAGTCAAGACAATGCTTACTGGCCAGTCCACTCGATAACCCAAACCTAAAAAATCAAAAGAATGGAGCCCTGCATCGAGTGCCATGGTCATTATTAAGGAACTTTGATAGATAAATCAAAATGAAGAAAGAATGAAAACCCAGGACTAGTCAAATTTACAACATGAAACCAGATGCAAAGACATGTGTACGGAAAATGTTAATGTACCAATAGCAGATACTGAAAGAGGCATTGTATCATGTCCTTTCATGTACACATACAATCTGTCTTTATTATGATCACATTCACAGGAAGATCTCTGAATTGACGACTCAAGAACTCCCTGAATTTCAGCAAGTCGTTGTTCTGCCTCTGTAATGCACCACTTCTGCTATTTCAAGAAAGAGAAGAAAAACAAAAAAAAAAAAAAACAAGGATCAGTTGAAATATAGTGAATAAGAAAAGATAATTGCACTTGTTGAAATGATTACTGGAGAAGGATACATGATTCCAAAGTGACATGATAAACAAATCTGCCCAGTCTGCTATCTCCATGAAATGGTACCGCCGCAATGCTAACAAATGCTCTTTAAAATCAAATCCCTCTTCAAGCAACTTAATAGTTAACTTGCTGACATACTTATATCTATTATTTTTTTGTAAGGATATGCCTTTTAACAGCAACTTCTCGCAGAAGACACAATCTATATGTTTCTCATGCGGTACTAAAAGATCACTGATAAGATCGGAACTGAATTTAACACAAATCACACAAGATGGAAGGTAAGAAAAACTCAGTATTAGAATTAATGGCGGAAATTCAGTACACAGAACGACGGATTTGGGGATGTTCGAGTGACCCCTTGCACTCCCAAATCTCACAACAGAATACACTCAGGAATCAACTCCCCTCTCCCCTTTACCTCTCTTCTTTTTATTCCCTCCTGAAACTAACCAATGCCTATTTTTCAGGATCTCGACACTGACTCCGAGGCCTAACTGACTAACTTTTCATAGCCCAATCCTTCCCAAATGCCAACTCAGCTCCTTCCTCCTTCTTCTGAAGATCCATTACTCTGCACACTGTCCCATCATGCTCTCCTGCGCTTGCAGGTTCCTTCCCGTGGAATTGCCGTCGAACATAAGTAAAACAGATGGGTGGCTTATCAATCACATTTGTCTAAAGTGCTACAACTTCCCCCCCCCCCCCCCTCTTTTTTTTTTTTTTTGCACTCTATTGCTGATTTTCTTAGAAGTTAAAACTGATGGCTTAAGATCACAAAAATGGTAGAAAAGCTTCAACCACAATCCTCAAAGATAACATAAATTAAAATAACAAATAATCAGTGCTAGAACAGTGCCTCAAAGTTGAGTTTTGTGACAAGCTCCACAATGCTTTTTTTTTTTTTTTTAAGAAAAAAGAAAGGACCAAACTTTCATTAAGATAGCAAAGGAGAGAAAAAGAAAAGGATGCAGAGTCCATAAGCCTTTCAGTTGTAATCTATCTAAATATAACTTGCCGGCAAACTGGAATCACCAGGCTATCCAAATTGGAAAATTGGTCACTGAGAAGCTATTCTGCCGGAAAATGAAAACTTTTCAAAAAACTATTTACAAAATTTCAATATTTGGCTACCCCATTGTACTAACTTGGAAAAGGGACCAGTTACTTGAGCATATAATTCTCTAGTGGCAATTGTTTGATTCACATTTCACAGAAATAATGGAGAAAAAGCAACGAAGATCCGTATTGTTTCATATGAGTTAGAATTCTAGCAAGCCTAAATGAAGCATGGATAAAGAGAACTAAACAGAAAAGAGCCAAATAAAAATTGAAAAAAAAAAAAAAAAAAGCAAACACAATTCCGTATTGTTTCATATGAGTTAGAATTCTAGCAAGCCTAAACCAAGCATGGATAGAGAGAACTAAAACAGAAAAGAGCCAAATAAAGAAAACAAAAAAAAGAAGCAAACACAATAGTAAAACTCTAGCTTCTATATTTAGCAAAAGAATAAGGATACTGAAGTATAATTTCCTGCAGCAGGCATTTGTCAATAATAAAATCAAGTGGTATGTCAATCTTGCCCAGTGAACTCTCTCTGAGGTCCCCAACATCATCAGAGGTGGTATTAGAAGATCTACCGAGCAAACTTTCCCAACTACTCCCTCCAGAAACTAGTGCTGATGATACATCATCTTGTTTATACTCCTTCAATTCTGAAAGTGTGTTAACATTACGAATTTTGGTTTTATCAACCAAGAACTCCTGATCACAGCGTTTTTTATCATGAAGAACACTCTTGATGCTGGGGGCTGAAGCACCAGAGTCAAAATCTGCAGAAAAGTTTTCCAGACATCCCTTACAAGGGTCTTCTACTGAAGAAAAGTCAAAATAAGGTAAAGACTGGCCAAAGTTATGTGTATCCTCTCCCTCTACAGGATCACTTTTCAAATTTAGGAAACTATTTTTTGTGAACATTGGATTTTTACTGAGAAAGTTGTCACGGGAATGGACCATTCCATCTTTCAATGTAAATACATTTGAACCATATATGTTCTTCTGTTCATCCTTGGTAAACAATTCCTCAGATAAAGTGTCATCCGTGGCAATCATTTTTCTATAATATGAGATTCCATCATTTAAAGCTCCCATTTTGCTCAGTTTTGGATCATAATCCAAGAGATTTGACCTTGAACTGTCTCCGTAACTTCCATCAAGGAAAGAGCCTTTCAAAAGACCATTGACTGACCAGTTTGGCTTTTCCGATTCCAGGGCCACAGATATTTGATCAAGAAATATGCCATTATGATAAGATTCCACAAACTGGTAAAGTGCATCTTTTCCTTCACAAATTTCTTCTAAATCACTCTCAGTATGGCTCAGTTCTTCACATTCTTCGGGTTTTGCCGATGAACTGTTAAAAGGATTTACAGAGAAGTTTAAAGCAGAAAAATAGTTCTGTTCAATCCCAATCAGCTGCTCAGACACAATTTTCTCTTCGCCGTCAGTTGACGATGAACATTCAGATGATTCATGTGCATTAGCTACATAAGATAAGTCATCCATTGTACTTGAGCCATCAGAATCTGTATCATTAAAATCCCTGAGAATTTGAGAAGAGAGAACATAAAATGAATGACAACATTAGAACGGAAAGTGATGCAAATAAAAGCAAAAGAATTGAAAGTAGAAGATTCATACAAATGATATGCATAATCAAGTTCGGGGACGAGAGGATACATTAGACGAGATAGAAAGAATGTGTGTGAGTGCGTGCGTGTGTGTGTGTGTGTGAGTGTGTGTGTGTGTGTGTGTGTGTGTGTGTGTGTGTGAGAGAGAGAGAGAGAGAGATAGAGAGAGAGAGAGAGAGAGAGATTACACATTTAACTTCCTTTTAGCTTCAGCTGAAGGAACCATCACCTTCAATGGAGCATTTGCACTGTTCCAGCCATCACCAAAGTCATTGGTTGTTGTGTCATGTGAAACCACCTGAAAAAATAATAATATTATTCATATAAGGATTCAAAACAAAGAGGTACTAATCAGAAAGCAGCAGAAAACTTCTCCTCATTCCTAACCTTATCTGAATCCTTTTTCAGGGACACAGAAGTATGGCTATCAGCATTAGGACCTTCACTATCAAACTGACGAACCATCTAGTGATTATACCATTTCTCCCAAACACGTAAGATATTAAGAGGTGGATTTGCACTAGTTTTATATTATAACACTCCCACTCATGTGTGGGTAGGATAATGGGACAATCGTGTGGACAAATATTAATTGACATCCTAACACATGGATATTAACTATAAGCCCAAAACATATTAAAGACCAAATACGTGATGACAATTTTAGTGTGCAATATAGGGTTTTAAACTCAAGATCTCTTGCCATGACACCATGTTAATTTTACCATTTCTCCCAAAAACTGATGCTATTAGGATGTCGACAAACATTAGTTCTACATTCTAACACCCTCGTTCTATAAAGGAAACTATTTGACCTAGCCTTTGTCATAAATTCAGTATATTGGCCTCCAGGTATAAGAATCTTAACAATAAACCAGAGGAATCTCCTACGTTCATCCTGCAGTCTCATTCTTTCCCTATTTTATAGGCCAAAAACAAAAATCCAACTAAAGAGTCATAGTTTAAGAAGGTTAAAGAATTAGCCAAAAACCATCAACGGCAAAAATAAAACATGAAGAAGTCCAAATGATGCAAAAAAAGCATATGCAAAGACAACTGAAAAAGGATACTGGACATACATATAATTGCAATTTCATTTTACAAAGCAATTACAGGTCTCTAATAGCATAGGAGAAACGTAATAACATCCCAAGAACCAGAAAAGTTTACATCGTGATAACCTGCTGATATCTGAACTCTAATTTTGTCAAAAGACTTTCAAGTTTGTTCTGCATTCTTTTGTAGTAACTTCCCCGGGCAAGAGCCCTTGCTTCTATATCCTCTTTTCCCAAATTTATTGGAAATGCATTAGATGAATAATTGCTAGAAAACCCATGCCAAGAAGGAAGAAGATCCTCATAGGTAAGGTCCTCAGAGGCAACATAGGTACAAAACTCTAGCAACTTCATTAATACTTGTAGCTGCTGACCAGCTCTGACAAGTGGAATCAAGTAGTCCCTTAGGAAACAAGGAACAGAAATTCCATCTCGCTCCTGTGGTGAGAAGTACATGATAATCAGCAGAAAGAAGAAAAGCCAGCTATAGAACAAATAGAGAAAAGTATGAATGCCCAGAGATATAAATTTCAACAGCTATTATTACCCTGATTTTTGCCAACGGGAAGTCAGGAGACATTCCATCTTTGCCAAGCCGATGGGATGGTAAATCATTGATACATTCTACTATAAACTCCTTATAAGGATCACTTATCTCAGCTTTGTATATCCATGACCTTATGAACCCCACATATGGTTCACATGAGCGAAGAAAAAGAAATTTGAGTATAGCACTGTGAGAAGGATCAGCTACCTAAACAAGTAAATTGCTGAAAATTACTACAAACTGAAAATGAACAAATATATGAAAAGTGAATAAGAACAATACAGTTTTTGAAACTAAAACGAAAAAAAATAAAAATAAAAAAGAAAGAAAAAAAAAACACACACACAATTTCCATGAATGCACTACTTGATTGGCTGATCAAAAGATAATTGTAACGGAAACCACTAAGACTTGTTTTGGATGGAAAAAAAAAACACAACTTATCTATTTCTTTATTTACTTATTTTTTCCTAAAGGATAAGCGTGGTTATTGTTTCATAATTTGACCATATCTTTCAGCAAAATTATAGAAACTAATGTTGTATGACGCTTTCATGTGGATTAAAGAGTTCATAATTAAAATTACCATTAGAAAAAAATAAATAACCAAAGAAAGATATCATAATAAGATGAGTAGTAAACTAAATGGAATCACAGAGATGGACATTCTAAGCAATAAGTATAAAGTAGGCATCAGAAACAGGAAGAAAAAGCAAGCTGACCTGTAATTGTGCATACAAATATGTAAGAAGATCCCCTCCTCTGAAGAAATTATTAAATTCATGCGTCACATTAACTATTAAATCTTCAAAAGAAGATTTCGAGAAGCAAAAAGATATAGTATACAAATTGCAAAGATTTCCAAGAGCTTCAATCTGAGTTCTTAGTTCCTTTGTGTGCAAATATAGCTCCAGCAATGTAATCTCGGAATGAAATACTGTGGTAAGACATCCTACTGTAGAACATGCATCTAAAGGCATTTCAACACTTCCTAATAAATGCCTAAAACGCACTGATGCATACAACGTGTCTAGTGAACACATGTAACCCTCTATGATCTTCCCCACGGCAACAGAGAATGCATGATTAACAAGACTGTACGGAGGGTTCTCTTCGCGTTGCCTTTGTGCTTTACCGTCATGAGAATCTTGAACCTCTCCTGGTTCTAGATTTTCATGTTGTCTCATTCCCAAAAAATTGTCGTCTAAATTTGAATTTCTAAAATAATCTACAAATTTAAGGAGAAGAAAGACCAAAAATCCTGAGCGCCCGATGGATTTCAGTATCTTTCCTTGAGCATGAGTACTTGAAGACCGATTCCACAAACTTGGAATCTGATGGAAGGTCCTGTCAGCTGGGTCAGAACAAAAGGCATTTGAAATCTTTTCAATACTGATAAGGGCTGATTGAACACCCTGAAGTGCATTCATTGCCAACCTCACCAAACTTGCTTCCTGTGGCAAAAAGTTTAGCACTGATAAGTTCTGATTAAAAAAATAAATTAATAAATATAGCCTTTTAGGCTTATCTCACCATAGTGTGTTGCCTTGGATAAGAATAAGATGCATCGCAAAACTCATAATGAGTCAGGTTAATCTCAAGTTTCCAAACCAAAGCAGAAAACGTTTAGGATCACATTATTCTAAGGATCGATCCTCATTTTCTTTGGAACCTTGATTCAACTGTTTTAGAATATAGAGGAAGTAAAAAAGTTAAAAGTTTTTTATACGTATTCATTGCAATAATGTCTCGAAAAGAAAACACATACACATAACACTGAAACACTCGGTGCCATTTATTTCAATAATATGGCACATCAAAATTTTCTTTATGATCTTGGCAAATATCTGCCCGCACTTTCATGATTTTCTTTCATTTTTACAAGAAACACACTCATTTTAACCAACAAAAATTTGCACAATTGAGAAAGCCTCTCCAGCAAAACATAATTAAATTCACAGGAATACCAAACTCCTTAGACTGTAAATAGCGGATAGGCGCTCTGAGCGGAATATTCCCAGTTGCAACTCTCTTTCTCTCTCTCCCTCTCTTCAAATTCTTTCTTGTGCAAACAAACTATATATCTAACAGCTTTTTCCCGACCAAATTTGATCTTTAAGCACAAGGTGAAATGGAAATCATTTTAGTTTCACCTAAAATTTTACTAACCTACGAAAGACGTATATAATCGAAACCTTTTACACACATAATTCTACAAAGATGACTCAATGAGCACCTGCAGTGTTCTGATCGCGAATTCGACTTCTTCACTATCCTTATAATCGCATTTCCGTCAAACGAGAGAAAAAATAAAAATAAAAACTTTACTAGACCTAGTTGAATACAATTATCATATACAGATCCGCCATAAGCAATCGCATTAGATCAAAAAATGCAGCAACTAGAACTAGAAAAACGCCCTAAATTGACACACACACACACACACACACACACACATACAGAAAGGGACTTACGGAGACGGAAGAAGCGTCGCGGAGAGGGTGATGCGAGGAAGAGGAATGGGAGGAAAATGGTGGTCCGCTTTCGGAAGGGATGGATTCCCAGGAGCTCGGAGGAAGCCATGGATCGTCCAACTTGAGATTGTCGAGCAGAGTCGTAGTGAAATTCGAGTCCACCGCCATTTATCTTCGTTTTCCGAATTAGGTCAGAGAAAACTCTCTGATTTTCAAGATGATGGAAGTGCCATTGGATCTTCTTCTTAATCTTGTTCTCGGATTTTTGTTGTCGTTGTTGTTGTTGTTGTTTTTTCTTTGGCCAAGGACTGAAGCGAAGCGCAAAAAGTTTGGAACTTTCTAATTTAAATTTCCTTGGTGGAGTATTTATATTTTGACGCGGGTCTCTCACTCCGCCCAATTTCTTTTCAGACTCTAGGAGTATGGCAGTCTCATCAGCAGATAGTGTCATTTTTAAGTCTTATATATTAAAAGAATTACGTAAAATAAACAATTTTTTATATAAATATGTTAGTTAAAAATAGAAGATAATTAATAACTTTTTTTTAATCCTATTAAAAGAAATTCTTTTTAATTTAAAGGCGTGTTTATTAACCAATAATTCTAAATTTGGAAAGAAAATTAAATTCTCCATTTAAAATTTCAGTGTTTACTTTTATTTTAGAAAATGTCACTGACTCTGAAGAAGTCCAAATTGAACTGTTGAAGTATAAGTCATATTTATTTTATCAATTTGAGTTTTGTTATAGTAAAATGTTCTCATAAACAGTTATATTTTTTTTTATTACAGTAAAAAATTTCACATAAAATTACATTTCAACTCAAATCAATGAACTAAACATGCCCACAAATAATTCGTTAATGGTGAATGTTACTTTCTATATTTCAATGGACAGTAGGCAAAATCATATATGTATTGGTAAGCGGATTGAACTAAAAAAATTAAAATAAAAAATAAAAATAAAACTCGTATATAATAGGATCTATTAAATTATTATGTTGGTCAGTTAATTTACCTTGCCGTTATAGAATTTATAGGGTTGTTCTTTTAAAGTGTAACTTGAGTGTAGTTTTTGAGTTGAATTTGAGTTATAACTTGAGTTGAAGTTGTAACTTGAATAAAGTTGAGTAAAGTTGAATAAAGTTAAAACTTAAAAGAACGTGAACTTGAATAAAGTTGGAACTCGAGTTGTCTTTTTTTGAGTTTTTTGGACAAAAGTACATGCCCTGTAATTCTTGAGCTAGGTTATAATTTCCATTAAACTTTTCTAATTATATTTTTTTTCCATGAGTTCTGTTAATTCTTTAACAAGTAATCTATTTATAATCCTAGCGTCAATACAAACCACGTTTATTTATATCTAATATCAAGAAGGTTCAAGATAACATTTACCCAAATACCAAATTATTATTCATGAGAATATCACTATTCCTCTTAACGAAGCAGTAGATTTCATGCCTATATAATAATGTTTCCAACTACATATAATATTGTGTCTCCAACTTATTGAGTTTTTTATCAATTAAATATTTTAAACAAATCAAAAGACACAATGAAGGCTATTTTGTGTGGACACCCCCTCAATTTTACGAATTTGATAAATTAATCTTTTAAATTTTTTTTTAAGTTTGATAAATTAAGGCCTCTTAACTTTTTTTCTTAGCAATTCACTTCTTAAATTTTGAAATTTATTGCATTGTTGGTTAAATTGAAAACAAAGTTAACAATGTGGATGGTATCTTCCTATTAATATCTTTTTGCATCGAATAGATCTTCATATATGCATCACGAGTGAATTTTTTAAAAAAATTGAGAGTTAACCGTTTTTGGAGACAAATTGGGGGTCCCCTAATTCTCAAAAAATTTTCATTCATGACGCGTATAAAGAGTTTAATTCGACGCAAAAAGGCTATAATTATCATTATTAAACACTCACATAGAAAATACCATCCACAATTTTAACTTTGTTTTTGTTTTGACTAACAATACAACAAATTTCAAAGTTTAAATGGTGAATTGCCAAGAAAAAAAATTAAGAGACTAATTTACTAAACTCATAAAATTGAGGCGGTGTCCGTGCAAAAAAGCTCACAATGAATGGACGTGAATCCAATAATCACTCAAAATTAAGCGTATAAATCTATAAAACAATCAACAATAGTAGAATTTAATTATTATCATGGAATTATAAAATAATGTAATACTATAGGTGTATTCTATTTAGTAATCATCATTGTCACTATCCATATAAGATCATTTTATACAGATTAAAAATAGTCAATACCACAATTTATCAAAATAAAGCATCCAACTGATTGTAAATCAAACTTCTATATATTGTTTTTAGAAGTTACATCTTCTGCATATGAGCACTTCATAATTACATAATTAGACGACTCAAAGCAAGTAGTATAAGAACATCATGGATTGGGTTGCACAAATTGGAGTGCCTTTATGTGTTGATTTTCAACTACTTAGGTTGGGCTTGTATTGGGATGATTTGGTGTCAAAAGAGAACAATACAGAAACAGTAAGAAAATGAAAACAAAAACAAAAATACAAAGGACACGTTTAGAATCCGTTTAAAAATGATTTAATTTTTGTATGAAAATATTTTTAGATTTGTGCAGGAATCATTTCTGAAAATGCGTTTGGTAATTTTATTCAGAGATTATTTTTAGTATAAAAAATTGAAACTTTGTTTAGTTATTCATTTTTAAAAACGTGTAATAGTATTTTAAATAATAGATTAAATAATTAATATTCTCCCCAAACAATACACTAGGGAAATGAATATTCTCCCCAATATATTTAAACATTATATTTTAAATAATATATTAAATAATTAATATTCTCCTCAAAAATGAAAATAGGAAAATGAAAACGAGTTTTAATCGTTTTCAGAAAGTGTGAATTTTTAGGAGAAAGATAAAAAACGTTTTCAGTTTTGTATTTGGTTGGATGCTGCTCCAAACTCGAAAAACATAATCCTAAATTATATAAATTAATAATTCTATAATGCACTATCAAAATTATTTGTGGTCGATTATCATACAATCCTCCCAGAACTTTCAACAAATATTTTTTTAAAATTAAGAGAAAAGAAAAAAAAAAAGGGAGAGAGAAAGAAAGAGAGATAAATGGCTTAATTCAAAGTTTTTTAGCTAGCCATATTATTCACCACATCATTCAATAATATCAGAAGCTATTCATCGTCAATGCTTTCTTAAGCAAGAAATATCATTTGTACTTACAATATATAAAGTTTGAAATAGATAAGGTTTTTCTTTCTTTTTTTTTTCTAATGGAAAATTATTCATTGCTCAATAAAAAAGAAAAGAGATCCAAAAACCAAGTCCCTATCAATGAGCATGTACATTATAGACATAACAATTAGGAAACAATATCTTAATTCTTGAATAACATTGTCCAACTCACTATTGATTCTTGCTTGCCAAGAACGAAATTGGCTTTTTTTTTTTTTAAAAAAAAAAAAAAATCAATTCATTAGATTTGACATCTATCAGATAGGCACCCGGTCTCAAATGATACCAAGACAAATTAGAGGGATTTGCAGTGCTTGCTGAGCTATTTAACATCCATATTTCCTCTCAACTTTCTTTTCTTTTTTGCCGGATAATGTTCCAACAACTTCACTTTAAGCAATGCCAAATAATGCAACCTAATGATAAATTAATTGACGTGTCAATTGCAAATTTATGCTCTGTTTATTTTACCGATTCGAGTTTTGTTATAGTAAAAAGCTCTAAAAAATAATCACATCTATTTTTTTTTTTGTTACAGTAAAAAAGGGATTCCAGATCTACTCCTTCATCGCTCACGGGCCAGGCCTATCAATGGCAGAGCAAACCAGTAAGACCTTAGCCACTGTCTCAAGGACCGAGAATTTTACGACCAGCCATGAACGGTGTCAAATTCCAGCCCTTATAAAAAGGATTCCAAACTTGAACTTCCCTCGTATTCAAATATATAAGAAGAAAATACAAAGAAAATATGGTTTCGAGTAATTGATTATATATTTCTTATGTAAAGGTCGAAGTAGGTCAAATCACATCTAAATTCGAATTAAAAATTCGAATTAGCGAACTAAACGATCCTCATATTTGAATGTAAAAAATGTTTTTCAATATAATGTTATTTATTATATTAAATTTCTCATATGTTATACTATATGTCAAATTTCTCATTAACTAAACATATAAGAAATTTAACATTTAATTATTTAATCATTACAATTTTTACATTTTTAATTATTTTGAAAATAAAAATTTACTTTTATAACTTTCAAAACTTAATAATTATGTAAAAAAAAAAAAAGTAGATTCAGCATTTCAAATAACAGTATGCATAAAAGTGAAAATAACATACTATATCACACTTTTTGATGCTATATATACAATTAGTATTAGTATTTACATTGGAGAAAGTCTAAATTTTATATACAATGAAATTGATAAAAAAAAAAAATTAATAACAAGTAATAAAATTGAACCAATCAAAGCATGTATGTTTATATTCTCTTTAAGACGTAAATATTAATATTGAGGAGTCTATCTACGATGCATCCATTTTTTTAAAACATATTGCAACCTAAAAAGGAGTCTTGAATTGGAGCTCTTCAAACAAAACGAATTATTAAGCCTACTTTGTGGTAGTAGTTGACACACGAAGTTCATCTACATTTTTTAATTAAAAATGCAAAACAAACAATCATTTAGCATATAACCAAAACCATCCTTTTATTACATAATAGATGACATGCATATCCTATTTTTGCTAAAAAGAATGTATATTTCATATCACAATGAGATTATTGGATAAATACATAAGATTGTTAGATAACACATAAAAAAAATAAAAAAAATAAAAAAAAACCCTATAAAAAGACATTGCTACTCAACCCATAAAAACACACCCACGTTGTCATGAAGGTACATAGTATTCCCTTTTTAAGGGAAATTTCATTCTAAATTTAACAAATTATATACTTGATAATAGACTCAAATGATCGCTAAATATAAGAGAATTCGATCCTAAATATTGATTGAGTCCACTAATAAAGATGAATGAAACACAGAGACGAATACAAGTGCCGAGACCTAATAAAGAAAAACCTACTTGGCACAAATAAAATTAAACGCTACCGAAGCTCATTACAAAGAACAATTACAAGCTATAGATAAAACCAATAGACCAAAATCAAACCTTCGAATATTGGGGACACAAGCGATGCAACATAAAAAGAAATCTAGTCATAAACGAACACACAGACCGATAACTAACTTAGACGGGTAAGACATACAAAGAGAATCGAAATG